TTCACAAATCTTTACTGTCATAAGATGGAAAACAGAAGAAATGGACAAATTCCTACTTAATTATAGATTATCAAAACTGAAGGAAGAATATATAAAATTTCAATAACCCAATATCAGTTAATGAAATTAAAAATGCACTCAACAACTTACCAACCATGAAAATACCAGGTCCTCATGGGTTCACAGCTGAATTCTACAAGAAATTTAGAGAAGATTTAAAGCTAGTACTTCTCAAAATCTTCAGTGCAATTGAAAAGGAAGAAATTCTCCTTAACTCATTTCTGGAGGCAGGTATTACACTGATTCCAAAACCAGAGAAATAACCAACAGAAACAGAATTATAGGCCTATCTCCCTAAATAACATAGATGTAATAATACTCAATAAAATACTAGCCAATAAAATGCAACAAATTATCAGGAAGTTTGTAGAACACGACCAATTGGGATTTATCCCAGGGATGTATAGATGTTTCAACATATACAAACCTATATATGTAATACACCAAATCAACAGAGCCAAAGACAAAAACCACATGATCAGCTCAACAGAAAAAGCTTTGAAAAAGTTCAACACTCATTGATGATAAAAATCCTACAGAAAATCAGAATAGATAGTATAAACTTTAATTTGATAAAAGCCATCTATGATAAACCAACAGCCAACATCATTCCAAATGGAGAAAATCTAGAAGCTTTCACTTGAATGTCAGGTACAAGATAAGGATATCCAGTGTCACCACTCCTATTCAATATGTTTCTGGAAACATTAGCCAGAGCCATTAGAAAAGAAAGTGAAATAAAAAGACTAATGGTAGGAAAGGAAGAAGTTAAATTATTATTATTTACAGATGATATGATCCTGTACATTAAAGACCAAAAAAATCCACCAAAACTCCTACAATTAATATATAAATTCAGTAGCATAGCAGGATACAAATTCAGCAAACACAAAATCAACAGCATTACTGTACACCAAGAATGAACTCCCTGAGAGAGAAATTAGTGAAACTATATCCTTCAAAATAGCATGAAAGAACGAAATACTTAGGAATTTATCTAACAAATAAAGTAAAAGAAATTTATACAGAAAATTACCAAATTATGATAAAAGAAATCAAAGAGGATTTCAAGGGCTGGGGAGAAGGCTCAGTAGAATAAGTATTTGCCTGGCATGTACAAGGGACTGAGTTCAATCTCCAGTTCTGTAAAAAAAAAAAAGGATTCCAGAAAATGGAAAGACATGCTCTGCTCATGGATAAGAAGAACCAACATTGTGAAAATGGCTATATTCCTAAAACTATTATAAATATTTAATGCAATCCTGATCGAAGTATCATTAACATTCCTCACAGATCTAGAGAAAACACTCCAAACACTCATCTGAAACCAGAAGAGACCCAGAATAGCAAAAGCAATGCTGGACAACAAAGTAAAGGTAGGAGGCATTACAATCCTTGATTTGAAAGTATGCTACAAAGCTACGGTGATAGAACCAGCATTGTGTTCCAAATAAATAAACATAAAAATATTTTTTAAAAATGGATCTGAGGATCAATGGAACAAATAAGAAGATACATACATAACTACAAACACATTCAGCCACCTTATCTTTGACAAAGGGGCCAAACATATTCACTGAAAGAACATAATCTCGTTAACAAATGGTACCGGAAAAACTGGAATTCCATATGCCAAAAACTAAAATTAAAACAATGTCCACTATCATGCACTAAATTAAAGTCAAAATGGATTAAAGTTCTAAATATGAAAACACTAAATACTTAATTGGCTGGAGGAGAAAGCAGGTAGAAATTTTAATATATAAGGGTAGACAGAGAATTCATGAACAATAGAATCAAAACTGGGATCTCATCTTACTGAATAGTTATTTTTACATCAAAAGCAACCATCAACAAAATGAAAAGAAAATCCACAAATTTGGAAAAAATCCTGGCCAATAGTCAGACAGGCAAAGGACTTCTATCTAGAGTATAGAAAAAAAAATAAAAAGAAGTAGGACCCCAACATTCAAAGACCCAATCCAAAAATGGGCATCTTAGATGAATATATACTTCACAGAAGAAGAGATACAAATAGGAAATAATTTATATGAAAAAATATTCAATATCATTGATCGTTTGAGAAATGCAATTTTAAAGACTCTGAGATTTTATCTTACCCCAGAAAGACTGGCCGTCCTCAAGAAGTCAACCAATAACAAACACTGGAAAAGCTGTCAGGAAAAAAATATCCTTATTCACTGTTGATAGGAGTGTAGACTAGTACAACCACTGTGGAAATCAGTGTGGAGATTCCTTTACAAACTACCATGAGAGGTCTCAGTCAATCCAGTTATTCCCTTGCTGGGAATTTTTTCAGAAGAATTGAAAATATCATACCACAGTGATATAGTTACACCCATGTTTACTACAGCACAATTTGTCATAGTTAAATCTTGGAAACACCACAAATTCCCATCAACTGAAGAATAGATAGGAAAAGATATGATAGTTTTATACAAAGGAGTGTTACTCAACTATAAAAAAAATAAACTTGAGGCTGTAAGTAAATGAATGCAACTAGAGACTATACTCATAAGTGAAATAAATCAGACCTCAGATAACCTGTGTAAATAATATTTGCATCCTTCGTTTAAAAACCCAAAATAGTAGGAAAAATCTGTAAGGTACAATACATATAGTAAAAGGAAAAGAAACTCCTCAAAAGTAATGAATTGATGAAATAAAAAAAAAAGGAGAAAAGAAAAAAAAGGAAGGTGAAAATTTATGTATGTATATGCACAGGATAGCTAAGATGATTGCAACACTAATTTCTCTTAAGTTTTTGAAGGTAGCAGCTAATGCTAAAAATTTTCATTTTGACCAATTTACATGCTTATATCTATTAATCTGAGCAAGTACATTGAAGAAAACAATGTATAATATAACAACCATTGTTGAATATCTGTCATTTACCTATCATCTTATTTTGTTTTTTTAAATGTGTGTCATTTCTAATATCTTATTTATTAATTTTTATTCTATAAAATAAAACTTTAAAAAATAAATAACAGAGGAAAAAAATGAAAAAGACAAATATACAGAGATAAGATGTCATGAAGAGATAGATGTCCAAATAAAAAGTAAACAGACAGACCTGAACAGATTCTTCTGTTATGGTCCTTCACAGACACATTGACCTCAGATGCTAAGCCTCCATGACTGGAAGAAGAAAAGGTCCTATTGTCTAAGTGATGTAGTGTAATACTTTATTATGAAAGTGACTAAAGTCATGGAAGTGACAAATGAACAGAGGCCTGAATATCAGCCATGAAAATAGAGAAAAGACACATTTTCCAGGTATGTTAAACTGCATGATACAAGGTATATGTCTGTATATAAAATACATGCGTGTTTAACTTTGAAAAGAAAAATAAAATAAAATAAAATAAAATAAAATAAAATAAAATAAAATACATGCGTGTATACGATGTTCTCAAGGATGGACAGTATATCTGAAGTTAAAGGACCAAGTAAAGTTTGTCCGAAGGAGTATTTGTGTAAGATCATAAATGCTTATGTAAGTGTTCTCAAGAATTTGTTCTATAGAATAATCCTTTTTCAGATCTCCAAGTTTATCTCCAAGTCCATCTGTTTTTTTTTTCTTCCAAGTGGAAATGTTCAAACATCTGTAAAATCTTCCTGCAGTGAACATATTTTCTTCATGCTCCATTCACTTTGGGTAAACATGTTATGGATGAGAATGTCATGTTCTGTTAGTACCACTTCCCCAGTTTCCATCACATCCAATGTATAAGACAAGGGTACAACCATTACATTCTGTTCAATGATCATTTACTTTCAAATTGAACAACTTGAGGAAAAAGCTTCTACGTAACATTTAAGATTGGGAAAAAAAAAATTCTGGTATCTAGGACACAGTAATTTTAAGACAGCATAAAAGTTGGCAAATTAACAATAATACATCCATAAAATCTATATTCTTGGCAGATTAGAAACTGTAACAACTCTTTGCTTGGATCTTGGTGGACACTTGGTCATGACATCATTTGCCTGGTATAACTTGATACATTATTCCTGGAAAATTGGCCTCCAGTATTTCTCCTGAACCACCCTAATATCAAGTTAATGTTCTATGCTCCAACAAAAATAGATAAAATCTGATTCTTTAAAAGAATACAAAATATTGGGGCTGATGAGATGGCTCAGTGGTCTAAAGCACCTACTTAGAACAAGCTTAAGCTAAGCAAAGTACAGGGATCGCGGTTCAATACCCCAGCACCACATGCCAGCCAGGCCCGCCCCCTGGTGGGCTGAGCTGGCCACACACACACCACACACACACACACACACACACACACACAAATAAATAAATTTTTTAAAAAAGAATACAAAATATTAATAAAAAGCATTAGAAATGATAAAATTTCATTAAAGTAATAGGAATTCAACATTATTATATTGTATGATGCTATCTTCAGATTAGTTGTTTAGATCATCACATATAAATGTGCAAAATTGGTTTTTATAAAGCAAAACAAAGCTACTACGAAAAAGTTATTAGAAATTAAAAAGATAACAAAATAAGAATAAAAAGACAAAAATGTTAAACATTAAATGCTCCTTCCAAAAGATCAGCAGAGGGACTGTGAAGATAACTCAGCTGTCTACACACCTGCCAAGGACAAGTGGTCGATTGCTGGTACTGCAAATTGGGCCAGCCCCAGAACCCTAGTGATGCCATGCATGGAGAGACTATGTACCAAATAAATACAAGATTTTTAAAAAGGGCCAGCGTAGGTCAGCAATATAATTATCCAAATTTTCTTTTATATATGCATAAATATATCTTTTTTTCCTTCTTTCTTTTGTCCTTTTCCTTATCTCAAATTTTCATTTCCATTGGAAAACTTCTTTACCTTTCATAGTATCTATTGTATCTTTTAAAATTTATTTATTTTTTCAGGTTCTCATACTAGTGAGCCAATATGAATGTTTTGAGCTGGCATGTCATCCTTGAGCAGAGACCATGCCCATCTTCTCTGTATCATTCCAAATTCCGTTTTCGTACTGCCAAAGTGAGCACAAAATCTATTTTTTATAACTAAAAACATAGTAATTGATTTATTTTCCCTCAAGTAAGTACTTTGGGCTTCCATCCTTTCCCCACAGACTGTTATGTCAGTGCGCTCAAAGCTGTTCACCAGCCCTTGAGCACTACCACCAACATGTGATGAATTAGAAATACAAATTGAGGGGATTGAATTTGGCTGAATAGAGGGGAAACTATGCTGAGGAAACTTAAAGAAAAATCAAATAAAAACACAGACAACAGAAAGAAAGGGAGGGTCATACACCCTAATGCCAAAATCAGTCTGAAGAAAGAGACTTCTACATCAAACAAAACAGTGATAGGATTTTATAAAACAGTGAAGCAGCCCACAGGAATGCCTATGGGACTTCTCGATGCTTGTGGAACAGGAACTTCCATTCTGGGAAGTTCTCAAGACACTTGCACTGCAATAGAGAAGCAAACAGAAGCCTTGCAGGATAGATATGGTGGTTAAGCCTGTCGGTTTAGTTTAGCTATGTTTTATTTTTGCTCATGTACCATAGTGGCTAACTGAAATCTGCAGTAACAAGGTCAGCGTTCATATGGGCAGCAAGGAAAGTATAAGTGGAACAAGATCACCCTTCCTGTCCTGCTCCTAGCAGGGTGACAGTGAAAACGCCTGTTCCATGTTATGCCTAAAATGTTTGATATTCAAACAGATAGTGAGGTTAAACCCAACTGCCTATGTTGTAGGGTAATAATAAGCTTCTCTTCTGGAGGATTAACAACCTAAGTTTTCAGAACAAAAATTAGAGAAAAAGAAGGGCTGCAAGGACAGCCAACATTTTGGCCCTAGCCTTTCAAGGTCAGTGAAGACTCAGGACATAGGAGTACCTGTACTGTAACATCATGTAACTCAGTTGTGTCCCACAATTTCTGATCAAGGAGATTATGGGGCCACAGAGCAATGTGATCTATGATGTGGAGTGTGCCTAAGGAGAGTCACGTGGAGAGAAAACATTCTCTCAGGCTTTCACAGAGAGCACATTGGCCAAGCAATGGCAGTGACTCATCCACATGGCTGACACTGACAAAGGATATGCAAACTGCAGTACAGGGTTTAAGGGTAAATCCTGAGGGGACTTGAATGACCTTGTCATATGCAAAAGTTACATTTCTTGTTATATAGGTCTTGCTATATCTTGGGCTTAACAATACAGCAAAAAAAAAAAAGTATAAAAACGCCGTATAAAAAGTAAAGCCATATTAATATGCTGAGCTGTGAAAGGCTCAAGTCAACAACTTTTGATATTGTCAGTCCTACGGATAACCCACTACAATTATGGACTACTGCACTATATTGGATTATTTTGCTGCATTAACGCACATACAATATTTAAATGGCAATGGAATACCCATCTCTGACAAAACTAAACAAAAAAAGTAGATACAAAGGAAGGACCATTTTGTATCTATATATACAAAATAGTTAAGACAGATACACAGCTACTTTCTCTTAATTCAAAGAGAAGAAAAATTTGTACCAATC